AACCACTCCAATTCTCCTTAATTGAGCAAAATACTATAAATTTGGTATCAAAATACCTTAAATCATCATCTTAAGATTTAAATTTAGGTTAAAATAGGACAAATTAGAAGGTGGGGTTGGTGGGGCTGATGGGCCTCTAGATTGGGCTAGATTTGAGTTAATAGACATGGACTTGGGATATGGGTTTGAAACCACATCAACATTCCCACGGGGTTGAGACATGTGAGGGTTGTTAGATGCCAAAAAGGAGGACGTGTAATACTACAATAGCTTTTATGCTCGACCTCATGTTATTTACCAGTCACGTGACCAAGACTGTAACAACCTAAGCCTACCACCGATGTGGAATCTTACAATCCACTTTCTTCAGTGTCCAACGTCTTTCTTCAATTGATATGGGACCTCCACTAAATATATTCTCCTTTAGGGCCTAGCGTCCTTAGTTCTCCTCCCCAACTGATGTGGGATCTTACAATCCAGTCCCTTCAGAGCCCAGCATACTCGCTAGCATTCGTTCCTTTCTCCAATCAATGTGGGACTCTCACCAAATTCGGGGCCCAGCGTCCTTACTGGCACATCGTCTCGTGTATACCCCCTTCGGGGAATAGCCTCCTCGCTGACACATCGCTCGATGTCTAGCTCTAATACCATTTGTAACGGCCCAAGCCCACCGCTAGCAGATATTGTCCTCTTTGGACTTTCCCTTTCGTCCTTACCCTCAAGGTTTTTAAAATGCGTATACTAGGAGAGATTCTACACCCTTATAAAGGGTGTTTCGTTCTCCTCCTCAACCGATGTGGGATCTTATATAAAGTATAGTACTCTAGTATCCATTACGGATATGATTGAGAGACTATAAGTAGTCTACTTATTGAGTTTTATACTCACTCTAGTAATGACTAGAAGTTATTCGAGGATGAGAGCAGATCTAGAGTCGATGTTATGTGTGTTTGTTCCCTTATCTATTTAAACACAAATTCATTTTGGATATTGTAAATATATAACGTTGATGTTAAGAGTGAGAAATAGAAATGGAATCGAAAGTGCGATCTTTATTAATGTTCACAACCTTTAAATATGAAACAAGCTACCAACTAATACCTAAAAATAAGGAGAAAATATAAACTAACTAAATCTTAAGAATAAGGTAAAATATACTACTAATCAAATTATAAAATAAAATATTAATTAATTACTAATATCTCGTATATATTTCATAACTAATTATTATAAAGCAAAAAAGAAAATTTATTGTATTTTAGTCTGAATTATTTTATTTTATTATTTTTTTTTCAAGTGACTTAGAAGCTACGTCTACTAAAATAAAGTCAATTAAAACGGTTACGTGAACAGGTTGAATTATCTGTATATTTCTTGCATTCAAAATTTTGAATTACTTTGCCATTAAAATATAATATATTTAATATATCAACATCAATTTTATTGGCATATGAAAAAAAACGTGTTGCCACGTGTTAGGTAGTATATGAATTAGGATTAAATTGTAAATTAGTTTTATAAAATTTAATTTTAATCACAATTTAAAATTTTTATAATTTTCAACGTTAAAATTATTATAAATACTAAATGATAATATAGATTATTATTAATAATAATAAGAATAATAATGCTTAATCCACCCCACTTAAATATAGTGGAAGTTATCTTATTTATAATCAAATAAATTATAAGGATATGGAAAGAGTAACATACGAAAATAACAATAAATGAAAAGATATTTATGGTAAGATATTTGCCTTGTAATAAAATATCAAATATGATATATATGGTAAACTATAATTTATTACTAAATATCCTTAACACCCCACCGCAAGCTGAGTGTCGGATTTGAACGAACATGAAACTTGGATCTAAAGAATTCAAAAAGAGGTTGAGAAACACTTTTCGTGAAGATGTCAACAACCTGGTTCAGAGGAGGTGTAGAGAAACACTTTCTTGGCCTTCGAAAACTGTAGAGGGATCGTCGCTCAGCGGTGATGCTACCTTGGCTTCGGTGAGAATATGTCTAACCCATGAAGAGGGATTGTCGCTTACCGACGATGCTGCCTTGGCTCTGGTGAGAATATGTCAACCCAAGAAGTAGAAGGGGAAACCTAGAGCAAGAGACAAAGACAATGTTGAAGTTGGAAGAGTCGTCACAGTGGGCGAAGGAGCCAATTTTGGCTAGAAGGGCGGCGGCGACTTGGTTGGCGAAGAGGCCAGTGCGGTGTCCAGATTCCAAAAGTAAATCTCTACATAAGGTTGATAGGTTTAGGTTAGGGTTTCTGTGAATGATGAAGGGAAGATTGAGAAGAAAATGAAAGAGACTATGTTGGTTGAGGGAAAATCGATTGTGTTGGAAAAGATGAGTTTGTATGTACAAAGTATAATGAAGGGTGATTTGGAGGTCAAAAGGGTGGAGCCGAAGAGTAATAAATCGGCTCTGCATGTGCCAGTCATGGAGACTACCCCTGCGGCGTCAATCCAGTAGGGGTGGTGGAAAAGAAGATGAGTAGGAGATTCAGAAGCCATTGAAAAAAAGAGATCGAGGTTGTTAAACCGAAAGAGCTCTGATACCATGAGAATGTTTGCTTAATCTACCACATATAAATGATGTGAAAGTTATCTTATTTATAATCAAATAAATTACAAGGATATGGAAAAAATAACAAATGAAAATAATAATAAATGGAAAGATATCTATGATAAGAGGATAAATATCTAGATATTTGCCTTATAATAAAATATTAAATATGATATATATATAAACTATAATTTATTACTAAATATCCTTTACCAATTATAATGAATCTTTAAATGATGAAGAAAAGGCAAATACAATAGAAAAAAAACATAATTATAATGTTATTCGAAAAATCTAATTTTTATTTATTAGATAACGAAGCATTTGCTGCAAGGCCATGAAAAATAAGGTCGGTACTGCATGCATTTTTAGAGCTCTGATATCAATTATAATGACCTTATGTTCCTGTTCATTCAAATCAAAGTAAACATCAATGGAATAGTGAAAACGATAGAAATGCAACTATCATAACTACATTCCTATGGTATACATAATGATGTTGTCATCCATACACGCGCTTGAATATTTAAGCCATGATCATTCCCTAAATTAACTAATGTGAGACTCTCCCAATAATCCTCAACAATCCTCCCCTTGAACAAAGTACACTATAATTGAGGCTCGACTTCTTTCTCTGGAGTCCTCACGCGCTTGAATATTTAAGCCATGATCATTCCCTAAATTAACTAATGTGAGACTCTCCCAATAATCCTCAACAATCCTCCCCTTGAACAGAGTACACTATAATTGAGGCTCGACTTCTTTCTCTGGAGTCCTCGAACAAAGTACACCCTTTGTTCGAGACACTTTAATCACTTTTTGACTACACGTTCGAGGCTCACAATTCTTTGTTCGATATTTGAGGATTCTATTGACATGGTTAAGTTTAGGGCATAGCTCTGATTGATATTGTCCAGTTTGAGCATAAACTCTCATGGCTTTGCTTTGGGCTTCCCCAAAAAGCCTCATACCAATGGAGATAGTATTCCCCACTTATAAACCCATGATCATTCCCTAAATTAACTAATGTGGGACTCTCCCAAGAATCCTCAACAGGACCCACCAGGCAGGCGTATAAATATCTCTGGGCCTGCCCTTCAGCTAGCATACGCTCACGCTGCCAAAGCCATAACATGACATACATAGTTATTGTAATGTATACGTCCGTATTAATCATAATGAAGAAGTATCTCGATGCACGTGACATATAAAACTGCATGAAGTCGCTGCACATAAGCTCATGATACAGGACTGACATAGTATTTCTATGAGACATACATAAAATTATCCCATCTTCCATAATTACATATATGACTTTCTAATGTCTTATAGACATATGGTGAACATGTTAGCAAAGTTTTGGTGTGGCTTATGGAGGGACATGCATCATACAACATCGATATCACATCATAATTCCACAACATAGCGTAATCGCATCATAATGTAACTTATACATATCTAACTTGTAATCATGCCATAATGCATATCGTAGTATAAACGTAACATAACACATGTAAAAAAAATCATAAAACACTACACGTGTAGGGGCCTTTGGGCATGCGTCGTTCATACAACAATTAAGTTGTCCAACCAAGCCACAATAAAACCACGTACTTGTTGTCCTAAGTCAAAGTCACTGCACTCCGTTCATGATAGCTTAAAACTACTGAGGAATCTAATTCCACTCCATGAGTCCACAACGATTAGAATTTTATTATGAAAATTGGCTCATTTTAACATAAAATAATCTAAACTTAACTCTAAATAATTTAAATTAACTAAAAAGCAGTCATACTAACTTTAAAAATCTCTGAAAGTGTAAGATAGGAAAGGATCCAAACATATCAAACCGTGAGCCGAATTAGCTGAAAGCCCAACCTAGAGCGGTTAGAAAATGTATTATCCAACTAGCTCCGAATGGCCAACGGGATGAAAGGGAGTAATGGTTGTAGCTTAGCAAGCTAATGGATTTTCGAGCCCAACTTCCTACTTTCTCAATTTAATCTCAATTTTTTTTTATTCTCTATTTATAGTTCTAATTTTTATGTTGTTACACTTGCTTACCTGTCCATGAGCAATACTTACATGCTTAATTTTAGGACAAAGTTTGAGTATGCTGAAGTTGGGCTCTGTACGCGTATTTAATAAGTCGATCCTTATAATTAATTCAATATTTTTGAAGAGTTCAACCATATGAAAAGTGGAAATATTTTGAACATCTAACCTTTTGTTCGTAAGTATAGACGGGCTTTAAGCATTCTAAATTTAAGGATCAGTAAAAATACAAAATTTTTAAATGAACTCTAAAAAAAAAAAAAAAGAAGAAGAACATTGGAACTCTTGTCATTTCTGTGGATTTTTCCACATTTTTAAAATTTGTAAATAAAAATAAAAATAATGGATTAATGGTGAGGTGGAGCCGTGGAGGACATCGACCGACGACTTCGATTCAATCATTTGCAAATCCGGACAAACCTCCGCCTCTTTCCTTCAGATTTCTGGTTGCCACGCTTCAGACATTTCCAAATCCTTATCCGATCCTCTTTATTCTGCTCGCCGTCGCCGTCGCCGTCTTCTTCTTCTTCTTTCTTCTCCGATTTGGGGTTCGTTGACCAGCTTTCTGCCTGCGAATTGACCTTCTTTGGTTTGATTGGTATGGCTGTGCTCTTGGAGGAGATAGTGAAGTCGGTGGAGTTGTGGTTGAAGCTGATCAAGAAGCCCGAGACGTACGTCGATCCGAATCTCGATCCTGTTCTTTTGGTTCCGGGAGTTGCTGGTTCGATCTTGAACGCGGTTCATGAGGATACGGGCAAAGAGGAGCGAGTTTGGGTCAGGATATTAGGGGCTGATGCTAAATTCCGAACCGACCTCTGGTCTTTTTACGATCCTTCTTCTGGTAATGTTATTGGCTTTCTATTTTGTTTCGTACACTAGTTTTTCTTTGTAAATTTCAGGTAGCTTTGGTGATTGGGGGTCGTTTTTTTAGCTTTCAATTTGTGTTCTTGTTTTAGGGTTTGGGTTCCCTTGGAATATGATGTTTCGAAATGATTTGATTGCTCAAATTTTTTGGGAAAACAAGGAGATGGAAGTCATCAATGTAGTTATTGTATATGAAGGTGTAGAAACTTAGCTCAGCTTCTCCAGCTTTAGCATATTTTAGATGGCCTTCTAATTTATGAAATTTGTTATGATTCCCGTATTATCAGTTGTTCAATTGTGTCGTGAGGACTTCATTAATAAATGACTCAAATGTTGTGAGATCCCTCGTCGGTTGGGGAGGAGAACGAAGTATTCTTTATAAGGGTGTGAAAATCTCTCTCTAGCAAACACGTTTTAAAAACATGAGAGGGGAAGCCGGAAAGGGAAAGCCAAAGCAGACAATATTTGCTAGCGGTGGGCTTGGGCTGTTACAAATGGTACCAGAGCTAGACACCGGACGATGTGCTAGCGAGGAGGTTGAGCCCCGATGGAGGGTGGACATGAGGCGGTGTGTCAGCAAGGACGCTGGCCCCAAAGGGGGTGAATTGGGGGGTCCCAAAATCGATTGGAGAAAAGAACGAATGCTAGCGAGGATGCTGGGCTCCGAAGGGGGTGGATTGTGAGATCCCACATCGGTTGAGGAGGAGAACGGAACATTCTTTATAAAGGTGTGGAGACGCATTTTAAAACCGTGAGGGGAAAGCCTGAAAAGAAAAGCTCATAGCGGACAATATCTGCTAGCAGCGGGCTTGGACTATTTCAAATGTAGTCAATCCTCGGTTTTAAGAAGAGAAGAAATGGATTCTACGTAGAAGGTCATACTAATTTGTCTTGAAGAGATCTTGCAAAGATTGCCATGAGTTAGACGTAGTTTACAATGAATAGGTGGGTACTTAAGTCAATGCTGCCTCAGTATTGATTTTATACAACGTTACGAAGCGATTATAGAACTTGTCAAGTAGTTGGCTGGAAACTAATTTAGTTTTGCAAGACTTGGCTAGTCTGGTTGAGCTGCTAACTTTTCATTTTTCGTAGTTATGCCGATAACACTTTTCCCCTCGAAAACTTGTGATACAATTCTTTTCCGGTTTGCTTTGGTGCTTGTGATATGTGATGAGAAAATGCTTTCAATTGTCGAGGGGAGAAAAAGAACACGAAAAAAGACGAGAAAAGCTTGCCATCATTCTATGTCTTTTTCTAGTGCACTAATATCTTCTTGTGAAACAGGTGAGACTGTATGTTTTGATCCAAAGGTCAAAATCAAAGTTCCTGATGAGAGAAACGGATTGTATGCAATCGATACGTTGGACCCTGACATGGTATACTTTGAGTCTTATTATATACTGAAGTTTTCTTTTTAAAATACTTAAGTTCTAATCCGTTGGCACTCGGGATGAAGTTATTGACCGAAAAATCTAATCCTTCCCTTCACGTGCATCTGCACACACTAAGACATGTACATTTTATTTTTTTACGATCGGTTTGTATATAGTTATGTTTAATCATAGATAAATTTGGGGTTTGTAGATAAAGTATCAGTATATACATGCACGTGTTATGCATACAAGCGCATTCCGACTCTCAATTTCATGAATATGTTGTATTTTGTTTAATGTATGTGGAAAATCTTATAGGGCTTAGCAATGATTCTTGTCGAAACCGTGTGTAATTTTTATATTTTATCCCAAAACTTCAAGCCATATGAATTCTTGAAAACATTCGATTCAGTGTACAACTATTTTCTGATTGTCTTTCTTCAATTTAGCCAATTAAAGTAGTTGAAAGTTATACCTAATAGACTGAACAAGAGTTTTTATTTGCATCATAGATCATTGGATGCGATTCTGTTTACTATTTCCATGACATGATTGTCGAAATGACCAAGTGGGGTTTTCAAGAAGGAAAAACGCTTTTTGGGTTCGGATATGATTTTCGTCAAAGTAACAGGTATCAACTAAACTTCGGATTATTTTATCACTACTGACATCTTCTTTCAATACCTTTGATATTTTCATTTTTGTGATGTAACTTACATATAAGGTCATATAATACTGTCCCTACTTTGCACTTTATGCACGACTTGTAATATCCTTATTGAGTTTTCCGATATCGATTGTTTATATTATTCTTATGTTCGCTGTTTGGGGTCTTGTTACACTTTTTCTTACCTGTTTTTTCTAGGTTGCCAGAAACGTTGGATCTCTTAGCTGCGAAACTGGAAGCAGTATATAATGCTTCAGGAGGGAAAAAGATTAATCTTATTAGTCATTCAATGGGCGGTCTTTTAGTGAAATGCTTCATGAGCCTGCGCAGCGACGTAAAGATTTTCGTTCTCCACATTCTTTATCTATAATCATCTATAACTGTTTTCATCCGAACTCCTATGGAACTAACATTTTTTTTCAATGGAGGGGCAAAAATCTTGCATTGTATAATTTGGGCGATCCATTCTCTCTACAATTTTCACTGATTAGTTGATTCACATAAAAAAATTCCAAGTTATTTTGTTTGTTTATTTCATTTTATCGTTTCCTTCGGAGAAGGGTGGAGGCTCGATTCTTCTGTTTTCATGTCTATTTGCGTGTATTCCTTCTCCGCTACATGAAGAGTTTTAGTCAAATAGTTTCTTACGTTCGTTTGCAGATTTTTGAGAAGTATGTGCAGAATTGGATTGCAATTGCTGCTCCATTCCAGGGTGAGATTCAAAAGTATTTAAGATATGAAAGATTTCTTACCATATTTGTGAGAGTTCATTGTTTCTGCAATTGCTAGTCTGAATAATTGAAATATGGGTTTAACAGGTGCACCTGGATATGTTACATCTACCTTTGTGAGTGGAATGTCATTCGTTAATGGATGGAGAGAGAACTTCTTCATATCAAAGTGGAGCATGCACCAACTGGTATGAATCAAAAGAATAATTTTCACTTTATTGCATTTTCTTCCCTTCTTAAAATTATTCATGTGCTCATATTTATTTTATTTTTTTTAAGACAGAGGAATTTGGTCTTGTGATTGACGTTGTAGTGTCGAGCCATTTTTCTCTGGTTACTATCTTTTGACTTTTCAATTGAGCTTGGTTCTTTCGATTTGTCGTTAGATTTTAGCCTTTAATTGGTTTAATACTTATGATAGATTGAATATGTGAGATCCCACATTGGTTGGGGAGGAGAATGAAACACCCTTTATAAGGGTATGGAAAACTCTCCTTGGCAGACGCATTTTAAAAACTTTGAGGGGAAGCCCGAAAGGGAAAGTCTAAAGAGGACAATATCTGCTAGCAGTGGGCTTGAGGCTGTTTCCCGAAGGGGGTAGACACAAGGCGGTGTGCTAGTAAGGACGCTGGGTCCCGAAAGGGTGGATTTGGTGGGGATCCCACATCGATTGGAGAAAGTAACGAGTGCCAGCAAGGACGCTGGGCTCTGAAGGGGGGTGGATTGTGAGATCCCACGTTGGTTGGGGAGGAGAATGAACCACCCTTTATAAGGGTGTGGAAATCTCTCCCTAGCAGATGTGTTTTAAAAACCTTGAGGGGAAGCCCGGAAGAGAAAGCTCAAAGAGGACAAGGGTGTGGAAATCTCTCCCTAGCAGATGTGTTTTAAAAACCTTGAGGGGAAGCCCGGAAGAGAAAGCTCAAAGAGGACAAGGGTGTGGAAATCTCTCCCTAGCAGATGTGTTTTAAAAACCTTGAGGGGAAGCCCGGAAGAGAAAGCTCAAAGAGGACAAGGGTGTGGAAATCTCTCCCTAGCAGATGTGTTTTAAAAACCTTGAGGGGAAGCCCGGAAGAGAAAGCTCAAAGAGGACAAGGGTGTGGAAATCTCTCCCTAGCAGATGTGTTTTAAAAACCTTGAGGGGAAGCCCGGAAGAGAAAGCTCAAAGAGGACAAGGGTGTGGAAATCTCTCCCTAGCAGATGTGTTTTAAAAACCTTGAGGGGAAGCCCGGAAGAGAAAGCTCAAAGAGGACAAGGGTGTGGAAATCTCTCCCTAGCAGATGTGTTTTAAAAACCTTGAGGGGAAGCCCGGAAGAGAAAGCTCAAAGAGGACAAGGGTGTGGAAATCTCTCCCTAGCAGATGTGTTTTAAAAACCTTGAGGGGAAGCCCGGAAGAGAAAGCTCAAAGAGGACAAGGGTGTGGAAATCTCTCCCTAGCAGATGTGTTTTAAAAACCTTGAGGGGAAGCCCGGAAGAGAAAGCTCAAAGAGGACAGTATCTGCTAGCAGTGGGCTTGGGGCGTTATAGAATATGAAGGGGTTATTTTGATTTCTTTCCTCTCAAGTGTGACTGATGCTCGTCTTCTACAGAAATTGTTCTCCTCTTTTTTTTCTTGTGGATTTGTAGAGGTTTATGTGTTTTAGTTTTTGAATTGTATTTAAATTTTTGGATACTCTTCAGGCTTAGTTAATACTGGTTTTTTCCCCCTCTTCAGCTTATTGAGTGCCCATCCATTTATGAACTAATGGGCTCTCCGGACTTTGATTGGCAACACATTCCTCTACTCGAAGTCTGGAGAGAGAAACTTGACGCGGATGGAAACGCTCACAAGATGTTGGAATCGTACTCGCTTAAAGAAAGTGTCGAAATACTGACAGAATCTCTTTCGACAAACATGGTGAGTTCTAATTGCCTATTGTAATTTTTCAAAAGGAAACATTATCAGATAAGAACGTTATTCTCTCATCGATCGTTCTGATAGAAAGTTCTCGAAATAGATGATTTTGAAGTAAGGTTTGGAAAGCTTGTTGTTTTTGGTACCATTGCTTGTTGTGTGCTCGACTATAAATAAATCCCGTAAGTTATAACACATTTTTTTTCTATATACTTGAACCGAACCAGATTCTTCATGATGGAATGGATATTCCTCTGCCATTTAATTTGGAGATCTTGAAATGGGCGAACGAGACGAGGGAAATTCTAAAGAACGCTAAACTACCTCCTCAGGTCAAGTTTTACAATATATATGCAACAGGTCTCGAGACGCCGCATACCGTTTGGTAAGTCTTCGTTATGCTAAATGATATTTGACGTAAATTCATTGTAGACGAAACGTTTTGATTATTTTGATGTTTGCTTCATCATGTTATTTTCTGATATGTCGAATTTTTCTTGGTTTAGCTATGGAGATGCAGAAAATCCTGTTGCTGATTTACAAAAACTGCGATACATTGAGGTCATTGTTGTCTATTCTATTGCATCTTTTCAATTATGATTTAACATTTTGCTACGCAATTCAATTTTGTCCTATGATTCTCTCTCTTTTAGCTATCTTTTAAGTTATAAAAATCAATCTCGAAAGCTTACTTGAATTTTCTCGATGTCAGCCGAAGTATGTTTACGTCGATGGTGATGGGACAGTTCCCGTGGAATCGGCAATGGTTTGTTACCTCACCCTCTTCTTCTAACTAATCAATTACCTCACCCCCAAACCCTTTTTACTAAGAGTTCCTTGGAGGGTTATTCTGTTTCGTCTTGCTTTTGAGATGATGATCCTTGTTTCGTTTTGCTTCGGATGTACTTTAGCCAATAGTTTAGATAATTTTCTACCATGTGAATACGTGATTGTTTTTCGAACATGTAGCTTTCTCACACTCTGTGTTGCTGCTAATTTTGGTTCATTTTGGTCGAACACGAACATGTAGCTTTCTCACACTCAGTGTTGCTGATAACTTTGGTTCATTTTTGGTCGAACACGAACATGTAACTTTTGGTTCATTTTGGTTGAATGTGATAGCGAAAAATGCTCAGAAGCCATGGTTCTTTTTTCTTATCAGGCCGATGGACTTGATGCAGTAGCGAGGATTGGGGTCCCTGGTGAGCACCAGCGCGTTCTTAGAGACCACCGCTTATTCAGAAGCCTCAAGCATTGGCTCAAAGCAGGTGATCCCGACCCATTCTACGACCCACTGAACGACTATGTGATCTTGCCAACTGCTTTCGAGGTCGAAAGCCATGTGGACAAGGGTCTGCAAGTAGCTGCTCTAAAAGAGGAATGGGAGATCATCTCCAACGACCAAAATAAACCAGATGAGTTGTGTAATGGGAAGCCATTGGTGAGTTCCATAATGCTATCTCGAGTTGTCGGGGACTGTCCATCCTCGAGGGCTGAGGCTTGCGCAACCGTTATCGTTCATCCCCAGAAAGAGGGTAAGCAGCACGTTGAGCTGAATGCTCTTAGCGTATCAGTCGATGCATGAAATTATTTCTCATGCAACGATACGTTGTTTCAAACTAAACTCGACTGCAATCAGCCCCATGAGCGTGCACAATTGATGAACAATCTGTACAGTCATTTGTACTTAATTTATGTGGTGAAAATGTATATTTAAAAATTTGGACACCCCTTTTTTATTTTTTTATTTCTTATGTATATATATATATATATATATATAACGCAACTCAATGATTGTTCCTCTGTTCTAAAAACAATGACCGAAATAAAAAATGAAGTTTCTTTGGAGTGGTCTAATTGGAAGAATTTAATCATGTAAATAAATATTATGAGATTTGACTTGCGACACGAGTAATGGGTGAAGGTGAGACGCGATCAATATGAAAAATCTTTCTCAAGTTTAGATGCGGGCAACTCAGTTACATGTGCTCGACTGAATATGCAGTCATAGAACTGCAAAATCTTAGACTTTGGTTCTAGTCATTCGTGCTTGCAGTTTGAATCACCCTTTGGTGATTCGATTGAATAAATGCAGTGACGCGACTTGCGTAGTGAGGAATTTTCTGCAGTGGAACCTTCGTTCAGTCTATGAATTCACGTTCCACGTTCTCGATTCAAAGTGGTCGGATCAGAGAGGGAACCTCGCAAGAGCACCTAGCAACATCAACATCAATTTTCTGTATTAGATACTTTTCTTTAAAGGGACAAACTAAATGAGAAAGACCCAACAAAGCAGAATCAAATTCGAAAACAACCAGAGGAGAAATCAAACAACTAAAATGTAAGGAAGAGAGGAGAAAGCTCTTCAACTTTCATTATTGTATATAAAAAACAATATCATTAACATTTTTTATTTATTTAAATGTTTATGTCATCCATCCATTACCATAAATTAAGGATTTAATTTCCATTATTGGAATTATTAAACTAAAGAATAAAAATAGATGTCACGGTTGAATTTACATAAAATTAGTTTGCATGATAATTTTTAATTAATTTAATGATTAAAACGGTTAGACGAACACGACTCTCCACAATGGTATGATATTATCCACTTTTAGCATAAGCTCTCACAGCTTTGTTTTGGGGTTCCCCAAAAGGTCTCGTATCAATGAAAATATTATTAGTTGATTATAAACCCATGATCATTCCCTAAATTAGCCGACGTGGGACGTTCATCATCCAACAAAAACGTGACTCCCCACTCTCACATTTGTTTGAATTACAAATAAAAACAAACCTTATTAACTACAAAATATGAGGATATAAATAATGTTTTTTGGTATCAAATAATTTATCATCACAACAATATTCCTAAATTGCAATTATTGAGAAGGTAATTAGGTTTTAGAGGTAAAGAAAACTAAATTGGTTTTGGCCAAAAGAATGCTTAGAAAGAACACTTCCTTATAAAGCTCCTCAATTGTTGGAAGACCTTAACAAACATATTTGAGTTGAGAGAGAAAGCACTGCAAATAAAAATCAAATCAACCATAATTTCCTTCTTAATCAGGTTTTTCAGATACATTTTCTTCTTAGAAGTTCATAGCACTCTTGTTTTCAGGTATGTGATTTTGTTGATATATATATATATATATATATATACATTTCTTTTTTTTTTTTATGGATTTGATGTTGTTCTTGTTTTCGGCTGGATTAAGGTTTAGGGCTTTTTTTTTTTCCTACTTGTACTTCTTTTTGAAATTTGATTTGTTTCAATGTATGGGTCGATCTTTGAATGTATGCTTCGAAATGAGTGTTTGTGATTTAGCAATTTCCTTTTATTTGGCTATGGAATTTCTATATGTTGTACGATTAATTCTCTTGTGTTTTTGGTTTAGGGTTTTCTTCGTACTACTTATTGAGGATAATGATTGAGAACAGTTTGAAATTTGATCATAACGTATGATTGAGAACGGTTTGAAATTTGATCATAACGTTTCAATGTATGTGTCGAATCGAGTGTTTGTAATTTAGCGATTTCCTATATATTTGGCTTTGAAATTCCTATATGTTGTACGATTAACTATGGAACTCCTATATGCTGTACGATTAATTTCCCATCTGTTTTTGGTTTAGGGTTTGAGATTTATACTATTTTTCGTACTACTTATCGAGAATAATGATTGAGAACCGTTTGAAATTTGATCATAACGTTTCAACATATGTGGCGAATCAAGTGTTTGTGATTTAGCAATTTCCTTTTATTTGGCTCTCGAATTCCTGTATGCCGTATGATTAATTTCCCCTCTGTTTTTGGTTTAGGGTTTGAGATGTATAGTGTTCTTCGTACTACTTATTGAGAATAATGGGTGAGAACTGTTTGAAATTTGATCGGAACGTTTCAATGTATGTGTCGAATCGAGTGTTTGTGATTTAGTGATTCCCTTTTATTTGGCTATGGAACTCCTATATTCTGTATGATTAATTTTCCCTCTGCTTTTGGTTTAGGGTTTGAGATTTATACCGTTGTTCGTACTACTCATTGAAAATAATAACTGAGAACTGAATTGTTTAACGATTTATTAGCTAAAAGCGATGGTGTTATCAGAGGAGGAAATCACCCGACTCTTTAGAATCCGAAAAACATTGATGCAAATGTTGAAAGATCGAGGCTACTATGTTGGAGATTTGGACATTGACATGTCAAGAAATCAATTTAGGAATAAGTATGGTGATAACATGAAGAGAGAAGATCTTGTTATCAATAAAGCCATGAGAAATAATAGCTCTGATCAGGTAAAGTTTCATGCTATACAATGATAATATGAATGGTTAGTGATCCTTTATTTGTTCCTCTCTTGTTTATCACTCGTTTCTATAGATATATATATTTTTTCCTGAAGAACCAAAGGTCGGTGTCAAGACAATGAAAACGTATACGAATCGTATGAAATCGGAGAATGTTTTTCGAGCTATATTGGTTGTTCAACAGAATTTGACCCCGTTTGCTCGTACTTGTATAAGCGAAATATCGTCTAAATTCCATTTGGAGGTTTTTCAGGTATTGTTTGAGATTAAGCTGCAAAAGTTTTGTGATTTCCATATCATTGTGCTTATAATTGCCATTTTCTACTTCTTGTCGAAGGAAGCTGAATTGATGGTTAATGTTAAAGATCATGTTCTTATTCCTGAGCATCAGCTGTTGACAAATGAAGAGAAGAAGACGTTGTTGGAGAGGTATACGGTGAAAGAAACGCAGGCGAGTATCGATTTTTCCCCGAAAGGCATTGAAGTGAATTCATTAAAAAAAGTCTCTCGAAATGTATATTGTTTTTGTGAGATTCCATGTTGACTGTGGAGTAGAATAAAACATTTTTTATAAGGATGTGGAAACCTAGTAGACGCGTGTTAAAAACATTAAAAAGAAGCTCGAAAGAGAAAAGTCCAAAAAGGATAATTTCGGCTTGCGGTGGGCTTGAGCCATTACAAATAGTAGTAGAGCTTGATACTGGGCGATTTGCTAGCGAGGAGGCTGAGCCCTAAAGGGAGTGGACACGAGGTGGTGTGTCAGCAAAGACATTGGACCCTGAAGGGGGTGGATTGGTGGGTCCCATGCCAGCAAGAACACTAGGCCCCGAAGGGGGGTGGATTGGGGGGTTCCATGTTGATGGGAGAAGGGAACAAGTGCAAGTGAGGATTGGGCCCCGAAGGGAGGTAGACTAAGAGGTCTCACATCGGCAGAAGGGAACGAGTGCCAGTGAGAACTGTGCCCCGAAGGGAGGTGGATTGTGAGATCCCACATCAGTTGGGGAGGAGAACAACGAAGTATTTTTTATAAGGGTGTTGAAACTTCTCCCTATTAGTTTTAAAAACCTCAAGGAGAAGCCCGAAATGAAAAAGTGCAAAAAGGATAATATCTGCTAGTGGTGAGCTTGAACCGTTACAATTTTGTTCTAACATAATGTTGTGTTTGTTTATCTCAGCTACCTCGCATTCAGGTCACTGATCCAATTGCTCGATATTATGGATTGAAGCGTGGACAAGTCTTGAAGATCATCCGACCAAGTGAGACTGCAGGAAGGTATGTAACTTATAGATATGTTGTTTGAGATTGCCCTAACTCGAATTTGAACTCATGGTATGGTACATGTAAATGTGTGAGCACTTTGAGCAGCCATGCTCTTTAAATAACTTCTGTTGCTTCCACATCTTTGTTCTTAGCTGCCAAAGCTTTTTGTTGGTTCCATTGTAATGACACGTTAATTTGCTAGCTTAATTATATTCATTCCAAAAGTATGATCATTTTGAGGAGCCTACCTTCTAAATAACTCTTTTCTTCGCATTGACATCATGAAAACTAATGTTACGGTCGCAAACTTAGAGTCTCGATAGTTGAGGTATCAATGCCATCAAAGGAATCTACAGAAATAAAGTGTACGAAAATGTGGATAACGACCAATTGAGGATCTCAATCCTATCCATGGAAAGTTTCTTACGACATTTTATGCGCAAAATATAAAGGTTCTTTTTCACGAGAGTGAAGATTGGCCCCATCATCTAATATAAGTCATTTCAAATAAAACAAATATTTTGGACATGAACCTTAAATTTATACACATCTGGTTGGCAAGTCATTGGGATGCCTTTAAAAAAAACTAAATGGATTCTTTTAGTTTAACTATATACCTATCGATTTTAAGCTCTAATAATGCAAATTTAATTGATTAAAGTTTTTGATGAGTTGATATTTATTCTTTTATAGTTAAATTTTTGTGGAATAACTTGTGTTCATAGATATAATAATTACAAACAAAATGATTATTTAGAGTGGCTTATAATTATAATTGAGTCCCAAATTCATTTTATTCATGTAATTCCATCTTACAATAGGAGCTCAATTCCATCACGCTCATTAGTAAGAGATTAAATATTTTGTGGTTTATACAAATTCATTGTATAAGATACCTCACTTACATGTTTTCTAAGTGGGTCGCATCAATATTGTAATAAGAATAAGGCACTTAACATTATCCATGTTTTATAATCGCCTTAAGATAATGTTAAATTACAAATAATATTATTGAAAATTAAATAATTAATTACGTGATTTTAGAATACAAATCTGACTGATCTCTAAATTGCATTGAAGCTAGTGACTTATATCAGAAGACATCCTTTATATATGACACTTTCCCAATTTGCTATAGAAAAATCAAGACATATCTTGTAATTCTAGTAGGTGACCCTTAAACACCTTAGCTTGGATAGTTTTTATATAGAGAAAACAAGTGTCATTAAAGCAATCGAGGTAGCAATCCTGGTCACTACCACGATACTTTTTTCTCTCTCTCATGACTTGAATTTCGAGGATTCGAAACTTGATCGAGACTACAAAGACGAAAACAAATAAAATATTAATGTAATATAAAATAAAATAAAATATGAAAATTGTATAAAATTAAATACAAATAGAAACAACACCACCAAAATTAAATAAAAAAATAATATTTTTTTATGAAATACAATTACAAAACAAAGTACAAAAGCCACAAACACAAAGACAGATCGAATGATAACTCTCCAAAAGTAGAGCTATACCAAGCAATTTTATAAATAATTTTGCATTCATACTCACAATCTTCTCATATTTATTTATTTTCTTGTTTCTCTCTATTTTTCTGTTGTCACTCTGCATATATTTTGTTGAGATATTTTACACTCATCAACGCACATTTAAATGATACTTAAAATTCACTTAATTTTCAGCAACAAAAATAACAAAAAAAAAAAAAAAGGTTTTCTGTATAATCAATAATTCACTTGCTACTTGTGTGGGTGTATATTTGAATCTATTCTTGTGAATTTCACACTATTTTACTATATACCTTCATAAGCGATCGAGTTTTTTGCACTGATGTTATGAAACCTAATTCAGTTACTTTACTTGTGATACATTATTATAGTGAGTTGGAGCTAAAAAAAAGCTATAGTAAGCTGAATTTTTGCTGTTGAATTTAGTGTATAAACCCACCTATTCATTTGAAATTTATTTTGGACTATGAAATAGAGAGAACCTTTAGGCGAAGGTCGATGCAAATGTTGAGAATAACATAAAAGAATATACAACAAGACTGTGGATCCCAACTAAATTAGGAGTTTGCGCAATCCAGCCGTGATTACTAATCCAGTGAGAATCCCTACTAATACTATTAATTTAGCTGATGACAGAGAAATGACAATCATAAAATATGCAAACCCAGCTATGGAGGAGCTAAATCTGTGCATTATCAAACCCAAAATGCAATCTACTCCTTTGAGATAAAACTTGTGATGTTTCAAATGCTACAAATCATTGGGCCATTTTATGGAATACCGTTAGAAGACCTCCCCTGCCTCTAAAGTTATTTTTGGGAGTTAGTGGCTCATCTTGATTTTAGTGAGTGGATAAAAATGTGATTAGATTGAGTTTATTCCCTTATTATTTGAGTGATGGTGCTAAATCATGGTTGAACACCTTAGCACCGGGAGCAATTGATTCTTAGAATAGTCTAGTAGAAAAAAAATTTCTCAAGTATTTCTCACCCACTAGAAATGCACGGTTCAGAAATAAAATTGTTGCTTTTCAACAGTTTGAAGATGAAACACTAAGTGATGCTTGAGAGAGATTCAAGAAGATGCTTAGAAAATGCTCTCACCATTGCTACCCCATTTTATCCAAATGGAAACTTTCTAGAACGGACTTAACATTGCTACTAAACATGTGGTGAATCTATCCACCAATAGACCTATCTTGTCAAAGACATACAATAAAACTTATGAGATCTTATAAAGAATAGCATTTAACAATTGTTAGTGGCAAATGTGAGAAGCAATCAACGCTCAATTAGTTTCAGTGACTAATATTCTCTAGACTCTAGCATTGGGACAAGCCTCACTGGCTAAAGCCAGTCCAAGCTGTTGTTGTTATAATTTCTCAACTAGCAACTGAATCTTGTGTATATTGTAGAGAAGAACACGCTCTTGGCCTATGTCCAAGTAATCCAGTTTCAATTTTATGTGAAAAATCAAACTAGTCGGGAAAACTAGAAAAATAACCTCTTCTCAAATGCTTACCACCTAGGATTGAGAAACCATCCAAACTTCTCATGGAAGGGACAAACCTCATGCAATTAGTAAATACCACCTAAGACTAATTACCCTAGACAACAAAATCAAATGACTTATAGTTTTTAACAAGCCATAATCCAAGGGAAGTAAAAGTAGCCATGCTCAGCACATACCAGAGTGTAACACCCGAGTCCCGACGAGATATTAAATACCTAATTTTTTTCTATCGAGACCAAACTCCTGAGATTTTATCGACAGTCTTAAGAGTTGAATTTCAAGATTGTGTAGAAGAGCTCTCATAAACTTAAGAAAAACATAAATGAAAAAATGAAAAAAAAAATTAGAAAATTGGTCAAAGTCAACCAGAGGGGTAATTTGGTCCTTCCGCCCTCCTTTGGGAGGTTAGTTAAAGGTAAGGTAAGAAAAGAAAAGAAACAAAAAAGAAAAAAAAAAGAAAGAAAGAAAAGAGAGGAAAAGAAAGGAAGAGAAAAGAAAAGAAAGTAAAGAGAGAAGGGAAGTTCTAGAGAGAAAGTCAGTCTAATTTCGGCCACAAAAAGTCCGATTCCGGCCGAGCCTCCTCATGTTCTGGATCCAAAGTCGTTAAGAAACGAGAAAAATCCAAAGGTAAATTATTAAATTCTTATTCTCGAATTTCTCTTAAATCTATGAGAAAAATTAGGAGTTAGGTTTTAAAATTTGAGTAGGTTAATCTATGAAGGAAGTTATAGTCGAGTATGGAGAGTATATGAAATGCGATCAAAATCATGTTTTGATGAATACTCTGCACATAGAAATACACATAAGAAAAATACATTTGTTAATGAAAAAAAGAAAAACAAAAGGGGAGATGGAAGAGAATGATTACTAAAAGATGAACAATTCCCTTCCCTTAAGTTTGGAACTGTGATAATTTTTGAAGTAGACAAATACCAAACCTTTTTTGTATTTAATTTTACAACCATACCATTTTCTAATTAATTGCTTTATTTCTTATAATTAGTGAGCATGTAATAATTCATTGCGGTTCCACGTGAAAAGAGGATCAACTTGATTAATGACATATTGATCTACTATACCACCATCTCTTTCTTTCGTGTATAACATATTCTCTGTATCTATGCTGTGAGTATATGATCAACATAGTCTTTGCTATTAAACGAGAGTCTTATTTATAAGAAAATACTCGAACAAATTTTAGCCCAAAAAATAAGAACATGGCGCACTATAGTTATAACCTTCGTCAAGGTATTTTGACAAAACTATCCGTTAGAAAATGCGACATAAAAACGAGAGGATGAAATGACGGAGAAGTACCCAATTTATTTGAAGGTTAACATACTCGTATCAGTTGCCAAAATTCACCCAATGACTAACCACAAATAATACCGTTATTCCTTTGTCATTCCTTTTCAAATTTATTTAGCAACTAAACATTTGGGTGAGAATGGTTGGGAGAGTTTTACCTTGGCTAGTTATAGAATGATAATAGGTTAGTAAAGAATAATCTCTTTTGTTATTAGGCCTTTTTGGAAACTAAAATAAAATAAAATGAAAGCTTATGCTCAAAGTGGATAACAAAGTCGGTGATTCCTAACATTATTCCTAACATTCTTCTATTCGATTGTTTTTCTCAAGAAGATCAATTTGACTAATAAATTTAAAAGTAGTTTAAATTTGTGATAGTATCCTTCCTCCTACGTAAAAAATAAACATTCTTCTCATAAAGTCATCCCAATTGTAATTTGTGTCCGATAATATTTATTAAAACTAACCCACTAGTTTGAAAATTCTCTATTTATAATCATTTAAAGAATCTAATCTAATAAATTAGAAAGAATATGAGAATAAATGATTGCAACATATTTGCCTATAATAATAAGAAAAATATGATACTACAAAGAAATATCTAGGTATTTGCTTATAATAAAAAGATCAAATATGATAATAGGTTAAACTATAATTCATAACTAAATATCCTTTAACACTCTCAAGTTGATGGAGACGGGAGGTTAATCTGCTCAACAAATGCGTGGTGGATCTTGAGTCCACCCTTCCACCGCCCACTCCAAACCTCGTACATTCCGAAGTACAGACAATGGTCTCCTAGTGAGCTTGGTGGAGGTTTCACAGTGATAATAAGACCCTCCTCCGGCATACTAAACTTATTTGGAACAGAACATTTGTTCTCTAGCGACATCTTTTTGTACACAAATCTCCCTGCCTTCCCAATCTTAGCCATAATGTAAACGTCACACCCTTTCCATCCAAAAGCCGCTGGTGCCATCGATACGTTGAAGCCAACTCTATAGCTTTTTCCAGCCTCGACATTGTCGGTCGAGCACGTCACCTCGAGCCACGACACTTGCAGCAGCTCTGCAGCTGCGCTCGGGTCCTTCCTGAGAGGTTAAATATCGATATATGTCGACCAAAGCATGCAAGTCTTAAATGAAAACAGATAGAGTCGCTTACATGTTTCGGTATTGGCTAGGCAAGCGCCAGTATCGGTCGTCCTTGCCCCATGTGATGTCTAAGCCTTTTGGATAAATTATGGTCTTTTTGTTCTGTGAAAATGAATAAGATTAGATATTGAAGATGGTTGAAGTAAAGGTTTGGATATACCTTAATTTTTTCTATAGCCTTTTGATCTCCTTTGTGGTGAGGTGATGAATAGAAAAATCCAACCATCTTTGCTAGAAATAATGGTGAGGGAAAAGGTCGTGTAATGAAGCTTTTTATAGTTAGCTTTGTGGGAAGATATATATATATATATAGCCTTTAGACTCCATGGAGGAGTAATTAATGGAAGAAGATACAAGAAAGAACTACGCTCATAAATCTAAAATGATGCTACCCTATCGAATATTTAAAGTTGGAATATTTAGACTACTTGACTATAAAAGTTTATACATTGAAAACAAATCATTCATCACGTGCTAATGAATATCTGTAACGACGGTATTTTTGTTTTAAATTAAGAGTGTTTTTAAGTGCATGATGTGAAAAAAAAAAAAAAAACCTATCTAAGAACTTTTTATATTAAAAAAATTGACATCGGACTCGGGAAAATATGGAAAAAATATAATTAGAATAAAAGAAAAATATTCAATGGTTCGAAGATGAAAATGCTATTAAACTATTATAACAATAGAGTTATGACGTAAATGTAGAAAACTATCTAGCGTGACATTTATTTTGTAGCTTCATTTGCTGGCGTTATTATCCGTATATGAGCCATTTGTCTTTACCTAGAAAAATTATAAACATAGGACGAGTAATTAAAAATACTTAGTAAGTGACCTAACCATTGGAGTTAGAAAATACAACCTTACGTAACATGTTTCATGATCGGTTGAAACTATTTTTAATAATTGTTTTTTGGGCTCTGATTTCTTTTTTAGGTGCAGTTGGATGCATGGTGCTACTCCATACACAATTCAAGTATGCAAGCATAAATTCATTACGTGGGTTCGTAATGTACTCTCTACGTATGACTATGGGCTAGCACAAATTCACACTAGAAAAAACCAAGGAAAGAAAGGAGTGTATATAATATTGTGCTATACGCTTACATATATTACATATTAGAGAAGTAATACATGCTCGTGTGACATACAACATATTTGAAGTCTTACAAAGAATCATGGTTCAATGATATGATACACATAATACTTTTTTATTTACCCTGGCATAAATTTCATATGAGTTCGTATCTATATATTCATGGTCTTTCATTCATACTTATCATACCTGGTACATCTTGATATTCATAAGGCATAACGTGATTCTATTAACCTAACAAACGTGAATCAACAAATAAGAAGCATATGCATCACAAAACTTCATTCCATAAATAATAGAAAGTAAATAACTCAAAAGTTACCGGTTGTTCATGTATCAATCAATTCATTCAACCTAGTTCATAGGCATTCAAATTTTGTAACAACTCAAGCCCACCGCTAACGGATATTGTTCTATTTGGGCTTTCCCTTTCGAGCTTCCCCTCAATGCTTTAAAACGTGTTTGATAGAGAGAGGTTTCCACACCCTTACAAAGAGTGCTTCATTCTCCTCCCCAACCAATTGAGATATCACAACCTACCCCCTTTCAGGCAGGGTCTAGCGTCCTCGTTGGCACTCGTTCCTTTTTCCAATCGATGTAGGACCCACCAAATTCACCCTCTTTTGAGGCCCATCGTCCTTACTCGCACACCGCCTTGTGTCTACCCCCACTCGGGGAATAGCCTTCTCGCTGGCACATCGCTTGGTGTCTAGCTCTGATATCATTTGTAACGGCCCAATGATACATTTGGTACTTGTAAAATTGTTTTAATAGAATGTTATTAGATTCAGTTTCATATCATCCAATTTCACCTACGAAACTTTATCTATTCAGAAAATTGAATTTAGAGTCTATCCATAAACCAACAAACGATTAATTATCATAAAAGCAGTAGCGAGTAGAGGAAGCCAACTAGTCAAACCAAAATACTTTCAGCACGATCCAAAATAGTCAAACGGAACCAATTGAATCCAAATCGAGTAGAGGAAGCAAACTCAATAACTTTATTTTACTTTTTCAATTTGGCTATAATTATAG